GAGGGGGGGTGGGGGCAGCTGTTGCCGCGGCTAACGGCCATGCGGAGGGGCGGGGGCCGCGCGTGGGTGCCCTGGGCTCGCGTTTCCCAACCGTTTTTTTTTTTTAATAAAGTGCCCCCCGTTTTCAGACACGCGCAGAGTGTTTCCACCGTTGCGACACGTGTGTGACCGTTGCCGGGCGGGCGATGACGTGTGTGGGGGCGGGAAGCACAACCCCCATAAAGCGCTGCACCGCTTCACACCCCCATTCCCGCTCCTCCAGCCGTCAGAGGGGTGGGGTCCCCCCGACTTCCCCGGAGCACCCCGAGGGGGCTCCTCCCGCCGGCTCAGACACACTGCTCCAGCCAGCGCACTCAGGTTGAATCCCGTGAGCTGCAGCGTGGGGTTTCGTGCAGCGCACCCCAGTGTAACAGGGTTACTTATTTCATCGCACTGCGGCTGCTCTTATAAGGCTGCATTTACACTGGCAGCTTCGTGCAGAAGAACGGCCGTTCTTCCGCAAAAACTTGCCCACTGTCCACACTGCACGAGTGTTCTTCCAGAAGTAAATTTACAGTCTAGCATTGTAAAACAGGGCTTCTTCCCGAAGAGTTATTCCTCTCCCCACAAGGAATACGCCCTCTTGAGCAAGTGCTCTTCCACAAAAGGGCAGTTGTAGACAGGCAACATGAATTTCTTGCGCAAGAAGCCCCTATGGTTAAAATGGCCATCAGAGCTTCCTTGCAGAAGAGAGCGTCTACACTGCCATGGATGCCCCTGCGCAAAAGTACATCTCTTGCGTAAAAGCACATGGCAGTGTAGACGTTCTCTTATGGAAGAGTTTTTGCACAAGAACTCTTCCACAAAAGAGTTCTTGTGCAAGAAGCTTTCAGTGTAGACCTAGCCTGACTGTGTGAATGAGCGGCAGTCCATAAAACTAACACCATATTTAAACTAAATGTCTCCTGTGTTCATGCAGTTTAAATACGATTATAGAATAAAGACAACAATTAATTTACACGGCTGTGACTCTTTTAGTGATAGAGATGCAGCCGTGTTAGTTTGGTGTAGCTGAAACAAAAGACAGAACTATGTAGCACTTTAAAGACTAACAAGATGGTTTATCTGTGGAAGTGGGTCTGGCCCACGAAAGCTCATCGCCTAATAAACCATCTTGTTAGTCTTTAAAGTGTTACATAGTTCTGTCTTTTGTGACTCTTTTAGGTAGTGCTGATTGCTAATTCGGCTCCTTAACCATTGGGATCTGATGACTGCTGCTGTAAACACTGACCCAACTCCCAGCAAGCCTTTGCTGTTTCTCCCCTCTTCTTGTACCAGTAATTCCTCCTCCCTACTGTCCAACTGTGACCATAACACTTAAGCTAGTTCTACACTGCAGGCTTCTTGTGCAACAACTGTTTTGCGCAAGAGCGTGTTCACACTGCCATGTGCTTTTGCGCAAGAGATGTGCTTTTGCGCAAAAGCGTCTATGGCAGTGAGGATAGTCTCTTGTGCAAGAAAGCTCTGATGGCCATTTTAGCCGTAGGGGTTTCTTGCGCAAGAAACCCCTGTTGCCCATCCACACTGCCTTCTTGCGGAAGAGCTCTTGCGCAAGAGGGTTTATTCCTCATGGGGAGAGGAATAACTCTTGTGCAAGAAGCCCTTTCCTCTGATGCTTTACTGTTTATTTACTTGTATAAGAACTCGCGTGCAGTGTAGACGCTCCGCAAGTTTTTATGCAAGAATGGCGGTTCTTGCGCAAAAAGCCTACAGTGTAGACGTAGCCTTAAAGTTTGGTTGCAGTAAATACAAGCAGCGGAAGGCTTAAAGTAGAAGTCATTAGCATACTCTCTGCCAGCAAAAACCTGCAGTGTAGATATAGCCTTAGAGCTTACCTGTATGAGGAAGCAGATTGGTTATTCCATCTCATCTATGCCATTCTAATATAAGAACATAAGAATGGCCATACTGGGTCAGATCAAAGGTCCATCTAGCCCAGTATCCTGTCTGTCGACAGTGGCCAATACCAGATGCCCCAAAGGGAGGGAACGCAACAGGTAATCACCACGTAGTCCCTCTCCTGTCATCCATATAATTCCCTTGTGGACACTCATTTTGGAAGAGTGCTCTTATTTTAAAATAATTACTTAATCAGAGTAGAGCATCCATGTGATGGACCCATACTGGAATATAATTGGTTCCAGAGCAGTTATTCTACTATAGTTATGCCAGTCAATTTCCCCATGTAGAAAAACCATTAGGCTACATACCAGTATTAGACAACCCTGTTACAATTGTGACAAGTCTTCCCCTGGCAGCATAGGGGGCCTGGAGTTGACATATGGTTTGTGGAACTGCCAGTTGTTAACTCCTTGATTAAGGATACGAGTCATAAAATGTTAGTAGTGCAGCTGGCATTCACAAATGCCTTCAATCAATGTATAGTTATTTCTATAGTTTAAGGGAGGCATTTGCTTTTTTGCATGCAGGTTCTTCTTTTAGCTTTAATAAAAATGAAAAGTTCAGCATATGAACCCCTGCATAAAAAATAGGGCAGGCAAGGTCTCCAAAAATAGGCATCATCAATTTCTGCATCATGAAGGTATCGAGATTAATTTTTAAAATGTGTTGCATGCAGTAAATTCACAAATTTCTTTTTTTATGCATATTTATTTTTCTCAGATAACAATATATTAAAAATTCCAGACAAAATTTTAAGCAAAGATTTTGATTTAATAAATTAATCTGTACTTTCAGGCTTATAAAGTCATTTTAAAATAAGCAATCCAAGAAGAAAAAAATACTGATGGCAAACTTTCATCATAGTCTGTAATTTTTAACCCCCTCTAAATATAAAAAGTTTGTAAAAAAAAAAAAAAAAAAGCGGATAGTCTCTACTATAGTGCGAGGGGTATCAAGTGCTGTTTTTGAAGAGCAAGTACAACTAAAATGAGATAGGGATGGCAGTCATGATTTTATAATCCAGCAATTCTGCAAAATTAAAGGTTCCTTTCATGCATGTGCACATGCACACAGACATTTTTAAAGAAAACAGCTGTGACAGTCAAGGAATCATGCTCAGGAGAAAGTTCAGGATCTTGTCTTTGCAATTTCTCATCAAGGCAGGCTCAGCAGCATTGGGTCCATCTCTTCCATGTGACAGATTGCTTAGTCACTTCTCAGAGAGGAGAAGTTCTATGAAAGGGAAAGAAGGGCAGAGCATAATCTGAGTAGTAAGCATCCTTGATGCTGCAATGTGTCTTGTTCATCTTGGAAGTCTGCAGGCAAGTCTGCATGGACAAACAGCATAAGGACAGAAAAGAGGACAATCCAAAAGCTACAGTCTGGTGCTATGTAAAGTTGAACTTGATGAACCAAACTTCTATAAGGATCTAATGGAAGCAGCTGTAGTAACAACTTAAACTGTCTGCTAGGGCTTTGCATTTTCCCCTTGAGAACCTCATTGTAAGAATGTATAAAATACCCACAAAAAAGATGGAGAAAACGCTTCCATGCTCTGCACATGAAAGAAGCAAAATGCATGACCATGAGGAGAAACTGTTTCTTGTCTGCAGAAAAGGATATACCAACGTTAAAACAAAACTAATTTTTATTTCCTGCCAATCTTTATAAAAATGTTATTGCAGTTGTATTACTTTCACTTAGGGTATGTCTAGACTACATGCCTCTGCTGACAGTGGTATGTAAATTAGACATACCGACATAGTCAATGAAGTGGGGATTTAAATATCCCCCGCTTCATTAGAATAAAAATGGCTGCCGCGTTGTGCCAGCTCAGCTGTTTGTCGGCACGAATTGGCAGTCAAGACAGGAATTGGTCCACAAGGATAGCCTTTGCCAACCGAGCCTGTAAACCTCATTTCATGAGGCATAAGGGATCGGTTGGCAAAGGCTATCCTTGTGGACCAATTCCTGTCTTGACTGCCAATTCGTGCCGACAAACAGCTGAGCTGGCACAACGCGGCAGCCATTTTTATTCTAATGAAGCGGGGGATATTTAAATCCCCACTTCATTGACTATGTCGGTATGTCTAATTTATATGTCTCTGTCGGCAGAGGCATGTAGTCTAGACATACCCTTAGAGTAAACGTCCAAAAGATTACTTTTTACAGCCACAAGACTAGAGGTAGATTAATCTGTACAAAGAGTAGGCACTGCTACACATTTAAGCACACAGAGGTGAAAAATTGTTTGAGCCTTCCTGTAATTAGTATAAGAACTTACTGGTTAGAAGTATGTTGGACAGAGAACAGGTTTTCTCACAACTTTACAAACAAAATATGGTTTAAAACGTTTCCCACAAAACTGTACAAACAAAACATCGTTTCAAAGGTAGGTAACATTTGACCCATGGTTTCCATTTTCCTTGTACTACATGGAAACACATTTATCTGCAAATAATGCTTCAGAACTGGTTCTCTTGTTTCAGCTTCCAAAGAGCGATATGACATTGCAAATGTGATCTATTCATTAGCAGTGGCAGCCCATGGATGTAGGCAACCTCGGCAGTTGCCTAGGGCACCACGTTTAACATGGTGCCCAATGATGACACAAAGCCATTGAGGGCTATTGTGGCAGAGGTGCCGATCGCGCATTCCGCCTAGGGCACCAGTTGCCGGCTACTAGCCTCGAGCTATTCCTGCTCGTTAGCTAAGCTTTCGTTTGTAGCAATGGGAAGCGTTTGGGGGTTACAACAGGCATTTTTTCATTCAAGCAATGCAGGAGAGAATGGTAGAAGAGTAGTTGTTTTTCACTCAACACACAGTGCCTTTGCATTAGAGCAGTGGTACTCAGACTTCTATGATTCAGGAGCCAAACGAGCAATCAACATTACCCAAATGAGCCAGTTACAAAGAATTAATTCTTCTCCTAGCAAACAATAACTCAGTGAAGTTAATTGGGTAACATAGTAAAGCCATCCTAGTTGGTTAATAACTCTGTTGTGTGTACAGAACCACAAGAGATTAATTCAAGAGCCACTTCCAGCTCTCAATCTGAGTATCATTGCATTATTGTAAAATAGATCTGACATCATTCATCATAATTTTGACATAATTTTGACATGTGGAAAAAAGTGATCTAATTCCCTTACCTGCTATGCTGCAAATGAAGTTTTTTGTTCAATAATGTGGGTCCCGGGGTTTTGATATATATGGTTTTCATGTGGATCGTAATAACTGAATGATGGAGAGGAAAAATAAAAGTAACTTTAAAAGAAAAACTAATTTAGTTTGCTAAAAGGACAGACTGGAAGTAAATTTATATTTAGGCTCAAAATTAATTGCAGAGCTTTATGGCTATTAATGTTTGGAAAGTTGATTACAAGGAGGAAGGAGAAAAAACATTCTCCTTAGCCTCTGAGGAATGGGCTTAAATTGAGCATGGGAGGAAGCAATGGGCTTAAATTGCAGCATGGGAGGCTGAGGTTGGACATTAAGGCTATATCTATACTACACTTCTTTTTCAGAAAAAGATATGCAAATTGTGCTCCGCAATTTGCGTACCTTTTTCTGATTCTTTTTTCGGAAGAGACTTTTCTAAAATTTGGCCTGTCTACACTGGGCCAAATTTTTAAAAACCCACCTTCCTCTTGAAACAAGGAAGACAGGGCTTCCAAAAGAGCACACCTGCTCTTCCACAAAAAATGTTGGAAGAGCAGACATGTTCCCTGGACGCTGTGGATTTTTTCTGGGATACCTCCAGTATCCCGGAAAAACTCAGGATGGTTAAATAGTGAAACGGGTGTGTGTGAGTGTGAGTGTGAGAGAGAGAGAGAGAGAGAGAGAGAGAGAGAGAGCGAGTGAGAACCAGAGAACCACCACATGTTATTTATATCACTGACATTTCAAAGACACAAAAGCAGTAAGTTGGGGGAAAAATCCCTGACTTCTCTCTTTTCAAACCTTAGTTTTACAGAGATTCAAAAAAATAAAAAATTAAAATTAAAATAAAAAAAAGTCCTTTCAGATCTAGAGGGGACAAATCCATCATGAGCCTTATATTTCTGTATGCCAATATCCTGGTGTCAGAAAAGAAGGTTTGGGGTTTTCTTTTTGAAAAAATACATTTTTATAATGCTTCTGGCAAGGCAAAGAACTAGAAGTGAGAGAATTCTTTGTTTTCTATTTATTATATAAAAAGCGTAGTGTCCTTTGCATGCCATACCAATCTATCACTAATTGCAGATTCAAGATTATGCTAGTGATTACCTATTTCTTTTGCCCTACTGCTGCATATGGAGATCGTTTCATTATGAAATGATTTTCCAGCATTAAATTGAGTACCAAACAATAGTCCATGCACAATTAAATGAATGGAAATTTAGAAAAATCCCTCACCCTGCATTCTGCTTGGTCACAAACCTCCTGATGATGATGATGATCATAACCACGAGAAGCAACAGGCACCCCACTGTGATCCCTGAGACACAGGGGAAAAAACAGAAATAGCATTTCCTATGGACTCCGAACACATTGAAATAATATTAGTGGGCTTTGCAGATTTTTAATTAACTCAAATCCCTAACAAGTTTCAGGATGAAACTGACCAGAAGTGATGGCATTCCTCTATCTGTACCAGAAAGATTTCTGAATCCTGAGCTACTGTCTGTCTTTACACAGTTAACATGTCATATTGTATCCTTCTCTGCCTTTGATCTTTAGGCAAAAGTTTAGCATTAGTGCATTCAAAACATTCACTGTGAGTAAGACCATCTATCACTGTTTGCATACAATATGTGGGTTAGTATAGGCACAAACAAAAGATGACTTACACCATGCGCAATTGGGTCAGGATTCACAAATGATTACCTAAAACCTGCAAACTGCATGAAATGATGGGATCAGCTATGGTCTAATACATGAAAAATCTGTGCTGCTCTAGTGCTTCAGTATAGACACTACCTATACCATTAGCATAAGTAATTTACTTCTTCAAGAGGCAGTAACTAGGTTGACGGAAGAATTCTTCCATTGATCTTGTGCTGTCTACACAAGGATTTGAGCTGGCTTAATAACACCTCTGAGGTATGGATATTTCATACCCCTTACTGACATAAGGAAACTGAACTATTTTTTTAGCATAGGCCAGATCTGAGCCAGGTACTCTAGAGGAAGCCCTGTAGCAAAAATCGAAGAACGGTAACAAAGCTGACAAAAATCTTGGCCCAAGGGGCTTTGGTGCATACTCTTTGGACATAAAAAGAGTTGTTGAGTACTAGACAATGGAATCTCATGCCTCATGGAACTCCCTGAGGAAGCACGGTTTTTAAAGAGGCTGATTATAGAGGTACTGTACTTTTCCTGCTTCACAAGCACTCTTGCAGAGAAGCAAAGGTTTGAAAGCTGGGATACTGATGCTGTAAAGAATGTTTAGAAACAATGAGCCAGATGTTCAGCTAGAGCTCAGACGGTTCAGCTATGTGACCCCAAGTCTTTTACATATACTACTTACCCAGTATAACTTCTATAGAGATGAAGTTATAGGAACTTTGAACTGGGGAGAGAGGAGAAAAAAAAAAGAACAATTATAATATGAAAGAGGAAACTCGTCCACATAATTTCTTCAAAAATATTTATCCAAACCATTTTCCATATCTCAGTCATGTTACACATTTTATAGGTAAGAGCTAGAAAGAAAAATGTATTAAAAGTCCTCTCCATATTGCCAGTTATATAGAAAAGTCTTTCCAACTTTTAAAGGGAGTTCAAACACGGTAACACAATAGCCTCTTCCAGCAGAGGAGAAAACTCAGCATTGTTCTGAGTGGCTGAGGCAGAAAGAAACACTTTTAGTTCACCTGCTAAATCATTCCTATATCAACTATTCTTTGGGAGCAAGTCACACACAGGGTGAGTTAAGTCGGGAGGACAAAGTTGTTGCTTACAGAACTCCCTTTTACTGATAGGGAGAAACATTTTAAGTAAAGAATAAGTGTGTGATTTCCAAAAATGCCTGAGGGCATAACTAACTCCCTTAGGCATATTTTGAAACATCCTATCTACTTGCAATGAGTTTTACACAGAATAATGTAACTGTCACGAAAAGCTCCCTTTGGGAAGCCAATCTGCAAAGCAAAACAAAAGCCATTGTTGTAACACTAATTGGTGGTTTCTACATAGTCAAAAACCCAAATCATAGTTGGACAGTGTATTACAGTTTAGATAGAACCCACTTGAGAGAGTTTGCCTATTTAAGACCTATCTACACACACAAATCACACTGATTGAAGTTAAAGTTAAATCAGACTTTAAATCAATTTGGTTAACCTGGTGCAAGTGCATGTGTGGACACATTTACATATGTTTAAAAATACTTGGTTTAGCTTGCACTCATAATTTATAGGTTCAGGCTAAGCTGCTAGAATCCAGGTAGGAATTGCCCACATGCAAAGTTTACACTGGTATGATTAAATCTGCTTAAAAAAAACATACAAACATACAAAAAACATTGCAACTGTGTATGGAGCAAGTATTAGTCTATTCATTGTGTGTGTCCTGAAACAACAGAGGCAGATATATTCAGGGGGCATACACACAGTTAATTCAATTTGTTTTGTGTAACAAACTTTTGAAAACCTTGCAATAGAAGGGAAGGGATAAAGGAGGAAATTGTAACCTTCTTAAGACAGCTGGGAGGAAATTGCCCAGTGCCCCATGTGATTTAAAAGGTCCCAGAGAGGTCTCTGGCTACTGCCACCAACAGCACAGCAGGGCTAAGGCAGGCTTCTTATTCGCACTTGCTGTGCACTGCTCTCTGTCCTGAGCACCGACTTAGCAGTGCCTATTGGCCAGGAACTGCAGCCAACTGCAGCGGGGGGTGGGCAGTGTCTGTGGGCAGTGGTGTGCAGAGACACCCCTATGAGCTGCTGCCAGAGAGATGTGCTGGTCATTTTCAGGAGATACCCAAGGTAAGTGCCGACCTCTTGACCCACTCCTGTAACCTAACCCCCTGCCTCAGACAAGTGTCTATACCCTGCACCCAAATTCCCTCCCGGAGCCTCACGCCCACTCTCTCTGGCATCCCTGCCGCAGCCTAAAGCCTACCCCTTTGCACCCTAACATCTTTCCAGATCTTGCACTCTGCACCCTCCTGCCCCACAATCCCCTGCCCCAGACGGCTGAAAGTGAGTGAGGATAAAGAAGAGGGAGCGACAAAAGGAGGGAGGATGGAGCAGGACCTTACAGAAAGGGTGTGACAGGGACATGGCCTTAGGGAAGAGGTGGGGCACAGGTCACAATTAGACAGTTGGCAATCAGTTGGAATACCTGGCTGTACCAGAAATGCGTGCCCAGTGCACAACCCAGTAGCTCCCTGGGCACTACCCATTGCAGGCACAGTGTCACCCAAATGTCAGGCAGACTGTGACCGTGTGCAGCTTGTGTGTGTGTATGTGCATGGGGTGCCCACTGGCTGTTCTGCTCCGGGGCCTGGAATTGCTGTCCATACTGCTGTCCTAGATAAGTACTATCTACACAGCTAAAGAAACATTTTGGCTTGTCTGCACACTAACTTGTGCTGGTTTAACTAAATCCATTTTTAAAAGATCTGTCTAATGTTGAGAATCTTTGTGCAAAGCAGGCCTCAGAATAGATAGGGAGGGGGGGTTGTGCTGCAGATTCTGCAATGGACACATTTTATTTTAACCTTTTTTCATTTGACCACTAGGTGGAAACCTAATAGCGGGAATAAAAATGCAAATATTCCTCCTCTACTACTGTCTCCTCGCAGCAAAGACTTTTAACTCCAGAGTCCCATTTATTGTATACATACTGGGTTTACAAACTGGCATGGGAGGATCCCAGGTAAAGTCATGTTGGCACTGTATCAGACTACTGCCTTCCAACACATAATCGTTATCACATTCCAGAGTAACATTAGCTCCAAATCGATGTGTAGTTCCCATGGCTGCCTTCATAACACCTTACAAGACTATGTAGCACTTTAAAGACTAACAAGATGGTTTATTAGATGATGAGCTTTCGTGGGCCAGACCCACTTCCTCAGATCAAATAGTGGAAGAAAATAGTCACAACCATATATATATATCCTTTGGTAATAAACCATCTTGTTAGTCTTTAAAGTGCTACATAGTCCTGTATTTTGTTTCAGCTACACCAGACTAACACGGCTGCATTTCGATCACTATTCATAACACCTTGAACTTCTGGGACTGCACATCTGATCTCTGAAATAAAGGACAGAAAAAAATATATTTGAAGAAGTGGAGAAAAGTAAGTTGCAGAAGAAGTGATTGCTTTAGGTTTACTCAGCTCTGTACCATTACTGGAGGCTTTATCTGACAATATATTGAGGTTCCTTCCATTCCAACATTTCTATGGTATTTATATTTTTAAAGGGCCTGGACTTTACCTATGGGACACAGTCAACTTAGCTTTTAAGATAGTTCTTGTATATTGTTACGAAACTTGAAAAAAACCCCAGAAAAGCAAATTCATGCATGTACCTTCACAACGAGGGGGAGGCGGATCCCAAGTCCCAGAAGGCATACAATACATTGTTGCTGCTCCAATAAGAATGTACCCCACATCACAACTGAGAGTCAGAGATGACCCATGAGCAAAGTCTTCCATGCTTTGGACATTGCTCTTCCCACTGATAATACTTGGAGGAGAGGGGCAACCTGAAAAGGACAAGATTTGGCTTCGGTACCAGCAGAGGTCTGAATTGGGTTATAAAATCCAAAGAATATGCACTGTCAAAGTACAGGGCAGCAACACACCATTCTGTTTAGGTCTAGATATTTCTAGCTGAGAACTTCACTGGTGCACACAAGCAAGTAATGCTCCCTCTGAGTGAGTAGAAGGAAGAAACTAAAAATTAAGAGCAGGGAAGCACCTTTGCATTTTGGACACACACTCCAACTCCCAGAGTTTGAATTTTATAAAGTACATGTATCGGAGGGCTCTCCAATGAGAGAGTAACCCACATCCCAGGCATATGTAATAGAGGTCCCATAAATGAAGGATTCCCTGGCTACTATGATTCCCATGGACAATCTGTAGAGGTGAAGGCCAAGAGAGAGCTGCAAATATACCAAGAGAAGAGCTGCAAATATACCAAGAGAAGAGTAACTTGGACTGCTTGGCTTACAAAGTATAGCAAACAAGACAGAAAGAGAAATGGCCATATCTTCAATAGCAAGAAGTTCACTATGTTCCAGAAGCCATACAACAATGCCCAGAAATCAGCTGTAACTTACAGGCACTCCATTGGTAAACATTTGCAAGCCCTGGACACTGTGCTCACTGCTGGCAATGGCTTGAGACTGGGGCCACTGCAGTTCTAAAGAGAATGCAGCACCCTGCAATTCCTTACTGGTAAAATAAACTTTAATAGATATGCAGTAAGGAAAAACAAATCAGACCCCGTGATGTACAAGTAAATATTATTTTTCCATTGAACTCCATGTCCAATCTGCTGGATTTTACTCATTACCATGGGATGGGTTAATCCCCCATCAAGATCTTATTAATAGATAGGAATAGGAGGATCTCACATATTATCAGCCTCGCACCAAATCTCACTACTGCCATTATGGGAATAGCCAGGACTGCACTCAAATAAAATAGAGGCTCTGGGTCTACAAACAGGTCCAAGTCCAATTATTTTCTTGCCTTTAGGATTGATGAGACAGGACAACCAATCACTAAAATAAAAGTATGTAACTGAGCTGATTGAAACTGCACAAGCCTTTGCTCAAAAAGACTTCTTGGAAGCTTATGCTCTGGGATCTGTACTTCCAGCTGGAGTTTAAGGTCTTGATCTTACCTACAAAATCCAAAATGGCACAGTCTTACCCTGCCTGAAAGACCGCTACAGTAGCAGGGCAGCAGAATGACTCTTGTTGGGTTACTCTAATAATAAGAGGGTGCCGGAAATTAATTTAGTCTCACTGTATCCAAATAACTGGAGTACTGAGAAATTCATCAAAATGTCTCATGTCATCACTCTGATAAGTGATGTATAGTGAGTGACACAGCTAATGGCATAATCAAGAAACTAACACATCACAGCTGTACCTTCACATCAAGGAGAGGGGGGGATCCATGTCCTATATGCTGTACAATTAACAGATGCCTATCCAGTAAACTGTAGCCAGGCTGACAGCTTTAATTTATGGACATTCCACTCACAAAAAAGGCCAAGCCTGGCTCCTGGATTTCCCACTGGTAATGGCTGGAGAAGAGGGACACATCCTGGCACTACATGGAGGAGAGACTCTTAACTACATGAGAGCTTAGATGGGCTGACACTCTTATAAATTGTTTCAACTGCAGCCTGGTTCATCAGCATTCAGGGAGCCACCATCTCCACTGGAATGCGCATGCAGTTCTGTTTATGTAAACTGAGCTGCTTCTGCCAGCTGTGATTCCAGCCCTGTGCGTCTCCTGGGGGATCTATTCCCAGCTGTGAGTTTTGTTGCATTATCTGGTGTGATGGAACACTCTCTCTCACTTTAAATCCTGTTGGGGGACTGACACACCTACAGCCCAAGGGAGGAAGCCAACTGAAAATCCACTCACCTTCACATAGAGGAGAGGGGTGGCTCCACGTTCCAGATGTGGTACAATAGATAGAAGCCTCTCCTCGGAGGGTGTAGCCGGGCTCACAGCTGTAGTTAACATACGTTCCACTGAGGAAAGCTGCCAAAGAATTAGCATCGTGCTTTCCATGACGAATGGCCGCTGGTGGGGGACATGGCAAGGCTAACGGAGGAGAGAGGAAGAAGAATATTTCAGAGAAAATCTGAATCCAGTTCAAAAATTTTTTAACAGCCTGATCTACAGGAGGGGAGAATGTCCAGGATGCACGTGCTATGTCGAACCAACTATTGTACAAGGGACACAACACATACACAGACTGAAAATCACTGACCTAGAGTCCTCTTCACCCCAGAACTCAGATAGCACCATTCTGGCTACTTTCCTGTTACTAGAAATCTTTGACTCTCTTAAGAATCTAAACTGTAATTCCTTGAGTGAGATGATTTGTGTTTCCATTCACACCTTTAGGCTGCTCAGGGAGACAGACCATTGCCAGATCTGTGTCCATCGGGGGGCATGGCAGGTTGCACGGGACTATCACAGTGACGAGCATAGTGCAGAAATTAGGGGGTAGGAGGATACTTGTATTTGCTCTATTCACAGATGAAAACTGACCTCAGGACACAGGAAATCTACCTATTAACCTCCAGGTCATACTGACCATCCCAGTGACCCAGCAGTCACCCTTGACTCACACTTACATTGTATGCAGACTGGAACAGGAGGATGCCAGGTTGTATCATCTCCACACTCAATCTGCCGGCTGCCATCCAGGGTGTAGCCAGGATCACATTCAAACCTCACCCTGTCCCTGGGTCTGTAGACAGACTGACGTCCAGCTACTTGTCTTCCATGCTGGATTTCTGGGGCCGTGCAGAGAACCTCTGAAACTGAAAAGGTGCAGAAGTCATCAGCCCTCCTGGCAAGCAGTTCTGTTCAGTGGGTGCTTGGCACCTCGGCTCTGCCCTGGCTGCCTCCCAGTGTCTAGGGAGAATTGATGACGTTGCTGTTAATCTCCTAAAAAATGCAAATATTTCAGCTCTGGCCTGCCTAAAATCACCTCCCCTAAGGTACCATACTGCTGCACCCCTGATCCCGTGTGTGGCCCCAGTAAACTCCCCCACAGCTCCCAGCCTCTATCTTGAGGACCCTGCCCTGAGCTTCCCACTGACCATCTCCAAATCCTGACAGCGTTACGCCAAACTTAGCGAACTTCTTACACTCTGGGTCTGTTCCTATCTATCAGGACCATCCACCTCGCCCCTCACACCAGTCCCCAAAGTCTGTTGCTTAGAGGTGAGCAGCAGGCAGAGCAGATCCATCCTGAGTCAGTGTTTGTGGGGCTCATGGCTCAGACAGAAGAGAAACTCGTTTGTAGATGCAGCTTACGAACAATTCGGAGTTTGACACTTGCCTCGCTCACAGACTGGCACAGGTGGATCCCACGTCTGATCTGTCTGGCACCGGCTCACCCTGTGACCCTTCATGGTGTAGCCAGGATCGCACTCAAAGGTCACGCTGTCCTTATACGAATAGACACGGCGCTCGCCAGGTTCTCGTCTTCCATTCTCAATCTGTGGGGCTGGGCATCTAACCTCTGCAATAGAAATGCTTTTGCGGACCCGCGGGGCCAGATAGGAAGACAGACATTTCTGCAGCCCTCCAGCCTTTGTCAGCCTTTCAACCCATGTCACTTGTTGCACCAGCCTGTGTTATTCCTCTTTGAAAATACAGATTGTTGTGGGCAATGCGGGGGGCTGCTCTGAGAGGAGGAGATACCCTGGTAACAGTTAGCTCCCTTTCATAGCAACTTGCCAATGGTTCTCTCCTCTCGGGGGTCCTGTGCACCAATCTCTAAACCACACGAGTGACCCAGGGTAAAGCCAAGAAGTTCAGTCCTACAAGGTCCTTCATGGCCTTTGACATCCGACACTAAGGGACCTCAGCAATCTGCATAGTCAGGCCCAGGATGCACCAGGAGGCTGCTGGCCCAGCAACGTACTTTGTCTGTGTTACAGGTATAAGTGGCAGCGCCTTTCATCTTCCACGTTGCACACACCTTTGAACACAAAAGGTTCAGGGGCCTGGCTGCCATTTCTCCTAAGATGCACTCTCAAGGGGTGACATAGCAGTAAGCATAGGCATGTGCACAGGGTGTGCTGGGTGTGCCTAGGCACACCCTAATGCAGGGGTAGACTGGCCCTGCAGGACACAGCCACCAGGCTCCGCACTCCTGCACCGGAGCTAGTAGGGGTGCTGCCAGCACTTACGGCCCCTGCCAGAAGACCCCACCGGGCCAAGGGACTCTGATGAGGAGGCCGGCAAGCTGACCCCGGCTGGGAAAGGTACCAGGCCGGGGAAAGAGGGCGGAGCTGAGGCTGCACCGGCGGCGGGGTCACATGCGGCGCGCTGGAGGGGGCGTTGCCACGTCAGCATGGTGTTATAGTGCCGTTTTTTAAAACGGCCAGCTGCGGATCGGGGAAGAAGACATGCCAAGAGAGGCATGGGGGAACAGAGCCTGGCTAGTGGTGGGACGGCGGCTGGGCCCAGCTCCAGGTCTGGCACGTGGTTTGGAGCCCGGGCTGCGGGGACTTCTGGGGCCCCATCACAGCAGACTCCAGCCCTGCAAACTGCAAGGCAGAAGGTAGGGGAGGGGAGGGGATGGGTGAAAAATAGGAGAAAGGAGAGGAAGGGGCTTATGCTGAGGGGAGGGGAGCAGGTCAGGAGAAGAAAGGGGCAGGCACCAAGAGACAGGGGTGGAGGAGAGACAAATGCTGGGGGGGCAAGTGGAGACAATGAGGAAAAGGGCAGGAGGGGAAGTGTCAGTGGGCAGGGAGCCAGGGTGATGCTGGGAGAGGAGAGGGTAAGGGCATTGGGTGCTAGAGGGGAGAGGGGGAGGTGCTGGGAGAAGGCTTGAAAGAAGGGGTGGGCATGAGGAAAGCGGGGATGGAGCAAGTCATGTGTGAGGGCACAGGGGCATGAGGGAACGGGGTCAGAGGGTGGTGAGGGGTGGGCATCAGGGAAAAAGAGGGCAAAGGGGGCAGGGGCAGTGAGGGAAGGGGGAGGCATTAGGAGGCTGCAGGGGTAAGGGAAGGTACAGGTGTGAGGAGATTCTGGGGGTGAAACAGAAGGGCAGACACCTGCAGAGGAGGGACCAGCACCAGAGGCGAGAGGCAGGGCAGGGGGGTAAAGGGAGGTGTTAGGAGAGGGGATGAGGTGGGGTAGCTCATATGATCAGAGTGGGGCTACTGGAGGAGTGGCCACGGGGGCAGAGAAAAGGGCTGGTAGAAGGGGGAACGTCTCAGGAAGGCTGAGGGCAGTGAGAAGGGCAGGAGAGAGGACAGCAGAGCAGGGTGAAGAGTTGGGGGGCAGCAGGCACCAGGGGAGCTGATGGAGCAAGGGGAGGAGACATGGCAGCAGAGGGAAAAGGTAGAGGTTTATAAGATATCTATTAATAACTTGGGTGCCGCAGTGGCACATCCAAAAAAGCCACATGAACTCAGTACTGGTGCACAACACAAAATTCATTCTGCTCATGGGAGGAAACTCTTAGAGGGAACACTTCCCGTAGCCTCTCCGCCCCCGAGTTAATGTCACGCACATTGGGTTAATGCAATTGCAGGATAGTTGTATGAGGGGGGTTTGGTGGGAGCCAAACTAATTCCTATTGGTAGGAGGATGGTGGGAAAAGTCCTTAGAGGGGGGTCACATGACACCTTTTACTTCTAGTCATGTGTCCATCTTGCCCCGAGAGTGTTGCCTCTAGAGACGTGTCTAATGGGAGTCAGGAGGTGTGGCTAATGGGGGTCAGAGCATGGTTAACAGGGGTTGGGATGTGGCTAATGGAAGTCAAAGAGTAAATTTAAAAAAAATTCTTTGGGTGCACACCCTAATGAAATGTGCTGCGCACGCCTATGGCAGTAAGCGATATGTGCACTGCCCCAGTGCAGTTCGTATTCATGTAACAATTCCACTGGGTCAGTGGCACGAAGGAGACGGCCCAGAGAGGGGATTCCTTGGCCTAGATGCTGCAGTTCTTCCCAACCGTCCACACACCACATTTTACACGCAACACAACCCTTCACAAAGTAGCCTCTGTTCATCACACACATCACTCCCTTACCACCCCCACACTCCAATCAGAACAAGCTCCCACACAACACAACCAGCACACACGGTTAGCCCGTCACACAGCCCCACGGTGCAGCACAGATTTTTCAGTCACTACTTGCACAAATCAACACACAGATCCATGTCACACACACTCACCATGACACTGAATTCGCGTTTCTTAGAGCCATAGCCACTGAGCGAAGAGTAGCTAGGAGATCTGCCTGGATATGCAATACACAAACATCCACTCACCACCTCCCTGACATTCCCCGGTTCCACCCCTGTGTGGCTAGGGTTAGAGACCTTCGCCAGCCTTTCTACACACTTGGGACTATCCCGGTTCTGCAAACGGGGCTGCTCCAGAGGTGCACTCAAAGGTACTGGTTTCCAATTCAGATCTTCAGCCCTGCCCTAAACCTATTCACTCTCTAACGTGCGTCATGGAAATCATGACATTTCAAAAGGCAGGAACACTAAGTGCTGGGATTTAACCGCATCTTCACATTGGGGGATTTCTTAGACTTTCAATCCATGACAAAACAGAGGTTGGAGGGCTGCACTAATACAAACCCCACCTCCACAGTGAGGGGCACGTGGACGCCACACTCCGTTTAGTCCATCCTCGGTTGTGCATAAAAGAGAGGCCTCTCCAGTCGGCGGGTAACCGTTATCACATGTGTAAGTTACAGTTGACCCATAAGAGAATTCATCCATTAAGTCCCCATTGTGCTTTCCATGCAGAATTTCTGGAGGGGGATAACACGGAATACCTGGAGAGAAACAGGAGGAGTGTATTGAGAATCAAACACAGTCACTCCCCGGAGTCTGTGGTACCTGAGATCTCTCACCAAAGACGCACACCTGTCCTATGTTACAATGCCAGTCCTATATTAAACTAAATAACGGGTTATGAACAAGATAAGAGAAACAAGAGAGTAATTTACAGTTAAAGGAGGAACACATACAGAGAGAAATGAGTTACCATTTTAAGTTTCAAAAGATGACACAAGCTTCTGTAATAAGCAAACGGTATGTGTCATTTTGAGGGCTACCCTGAATGGTCAGAGGTCTACAGGTCTTCCTTGTTGGGAGGGAAATGCCATGTGTTGAAGTAAATTAGCATTTTCCACTGGGTAATGCTGCTCTCCTGAGACTGAGGGTTGAGTGTTGTAGAGCAACTGCTTTTTATATTTCCATACCCAACACTGAAATATGGCTTTATAAAATGGGATACAGTTTTATACAAGGGAGGAAGGCATGCAGCAACTTCAGAGAACTGCATCAAGTATAAACACTTGGTTGTAACTGAACATCTATTTTAACAACTCTAACACACAGGTGAATCAGACGGGTTCCCAGCTTTGTATCTGTCAGTATTTCCTGAGGAGTGAGGCTATTGGCATGACCTATGAGCATCTCACGTGTTACACGTTTTGCTTGGTACCTTTTTCTGCTGCTAAATTGGCAATGAAAGACCGAGTTCTTATGGTCAGGAACTTGATACAACACACTTCTTCCTGAGCTACAACCCTTCTCACAGATACCTATAACCCCGAGTGGCTTTTCTGGTTAAAGTACCGATCTGGGATGTGGAGATCTCAGTGAAATTTTTGATTCTGCTACTGACCAGCCTGGAGAAGTCACTTAATCTCCCTGTGCCTCATTTCCCACTCTGTAAAGCAGGGATCATAATGCTTCCCTTAAGTTACTTTTGCACTGCATGCAGAAAAGAGGAGAAACAGCCTATGTAAGCAAACAGACCGAGATTTGTAACCAACTTACGCTCACAAAAGGGCATATCCCCACTCCATGCAACACGTATGCCAGAAATAACACATTGTCTGTAAGAGTCTCCAATCAACCGGTGCCTGCAAAGAGGCAGAGGGGTTATCAGTTGTTACCTGCTCCTCTGTTGTTTGAATTCTCCTGCAAAGTTATTTGGGAAGTGCTTCTCCCCAGCCACAGCAAGTAGAGACCAACACCACTGACTGCTGGTGTAAAGGCTTCTTCACCTTTTTAGAACTCCTGAGCCCCTTCTAGAATTCTGTCATAGAACTGTCCTGTGCAGGCCCAGGATGCTTAACAGGAGAGTTCTGTTTCAGTTTTTTTAATCATTTATTGGAAGTATGATCTGTTTGTTGTCACTTGCAACAAATCCTACTTTTTATATGCAATGGAAGAGGGAAGTTTATGTCAATCAATTTGTTCTCACATATTGATCCAAGAAACAGGGAAGGCTAATCCTCTTACAGGAACTAAGGGAGTACAGGGATTTCCCTTTCTCTTGCATAGCTGCAAGGTAGGCTTAAATAGTCAGCTCAGGCAGTCAGAAACTTACCCTTCCTCACACGAGAAGTTGACTATTGACCCAAACAGCATATCTGTGACATTCATTCTGCCATTCTCCAGCTCTCCTGGATGACCGCACGATTTCCCTGGTAGAGGACAAGAGTAGAATTATATTTTGCTCTTTCTAAGCAACAGTTGTTCCAAGGCGCTGTCCATATCAAACAAGCTGCAGAAAAGATCTCATTTAGAAGGGCCCAAAGTGGCAACGATACAGAGTTTTACTGGTCATTATTAACTATTTAAACATGGGTTACATATTGTTGCGTGGCTGTAAGTCCCATTAGGAGCTTTAGCGAAAAGTAGAGACAAATAACATGAAGATACTCACTTCTACAGAACTCGAGTGGTTCTGACCAACTTCCATTTGGAAGGCATGTAATAGTGGGTCGAATACCAGGGTGTCTACTGTATCCAGGCCGGCAAGTATAGTTTGCAGTCTCCCCAACAGGAAAGTAGGACTGATTTCTATACTCGCTCCTGAGCTCAGCAAAGCTTAACCTTGTGGGGACACCACAGCCAACTTGCAAGAACAGAAACACACCTGAGAAAAAGCAGAGGGTGATGGGAAGAATATTTCAGTGAAAATCACAACTCTTCAAAGAAGAAGTTCAATTGGCTGATGTACAGGATGGTGGAATAGGCCCAGGGTGCCTGTGTTCTGCAAAACCAACTAACATACAATGGGTGCTACACATAGAAAGGAAACCACTGACCTAGATTCCCTATCACTCCAAAACTCAAATGGTCCCACCCTTCTAATTTACTGTCCCTGGAAATCTCCCCTGACTCCCCTAAGGATCTCAACTGTATTT